GAGAGCGCTTTCTATGATATTTAATTAATGTGTTTTCAAAAATATTTGTAACAGGCTAACTCTGCACTCTAATTTACTTCTCCTCGGCCAAGGCATGCCACTTAAAAAGATTTCTGGATTTTGAAGCCCATAATCTGGTAATTAACAGTGAAGCCCTCCTTGATGCTCCTTGTGTCTTAGGAGAATTCATCACTGGCTTTTTAATTTCATTTGCTTCTTTGTTTGGCAGTTCAGAGATCTCTGAATCAAAGGTGTTTAAAAACAGAGCATATTGGGATGTAATGCTGGCATTGAACACAGTGAGAGTGTGTACTGTCTAGTGCTTAGAGTGAAGTGGGTATCAGGAATCTTCCCTTATCCAGTTCTGGCACTGACTCGCTATGGGGATGTCTACAAAGCAACTGGGTGCTATGATTCCCAGCACGGATAGATCTATATGCATGAGTTTTGCTCAACCTAGCCACTAAAAATGGCCATGATGACTCTGGCTTGAACTAGCCATCTGCGCACACAGCTAGAGGACTGGGCAGAATTGTACTCTGGCAGCCAGTCACCCATGCTGCTGCAGCCAACACAGCTAAGTTTAGTAAACTAGCTTAAGCAGAGCTAGATTGTGTATCTATACCTGAACTCAGAGTGGCCTCTCAACTACTATGCAGAAAGACCTAGTGTGACTGTGAATATGTCATTTTATTACTCTGGACCTCCAATTCTAATCTTTAAAATTAAATAATCAGTTAATTCTGGTGGCTGGGAGACATTTACAATGGCAGGCTCCAAAAACTGGGAAGCCCTAACTGAATAGATCAGGAGACCTACTTAAGTTATGTTCAGGGTAAAATGCAAGAGAGACCTCAGTACAAAGACAGAAGAGTGACCTGGCAATGTTTTAAAGAACAGGAAAGTGGCAAAGAGAAAAGAGGAAAGAATGGATTAGGGAAATAAGTAATGATACCCCCACCACACACACACATGCACAGACATGAAACAACATCGTCAAATCAAATGGCAGAGTAGGATGGGAAAAGAGAAAGATGGGGATGACAGAGCGTGCCTCCTTGATCCACTAGTGGCAGGTCCACACGGAAGATAATTGCCTCCTACTGCTACCAGTTGTTCTGTTAGCTAAAATAGAGGACTGCAATGAATATGAAAATCCTAATCCTGTTTATGATCAATGATTAAATTTTTGTTAATGAGATTTTTAAATTTTTAAAAAGACTGGGAAATTAGATCCTAACCCCTCCTCCTCCTAATGGACAAATTCTCCATCCAAAACCAGGTTAAAAGAAAATTATGGATGCAAAGTTAAGCTCTCAACGGACTAATTTAGCTATAACTACTCAAGACAGATCTTGGAGTCATTGCGGATTGTTCACTGAAAATGTCCACTCAATATGCAGCAGCAGCCAAAAAAGCAAACAGAATTTTAGGAATCATTAAAAAAGGGATAGAGAATAAGACAGAGAATACTTTAATACCTCTATATAAAATCATGCTATAACCACATCTTGACTACTGAGTACAGATGTAGTCGCCTCATCTCAAAAAAAGATATATTGGCACTGGAAAAGATTTAGAAAAGGGCAACAAAAAGGAATTAGGAGTTTTGAATGGGTCCCATATGAAGAGAGATTAAAAAGACTGGGGATTTTCATCTTGGAAAAGAGGAGACTAAGGGGGGATATGATATATCATGGTCTATCAGGTCTATATAATCATGACTGGTGTGAAAAAAATGAATAAGGAAAAGTTATTTACTTGTTCCCATAACCTAAGAACTAGGGGGTCACTAAATCAAATAAATAGGTATCAGGTTTAAAACAAATAAAAGGAAGATTTTATTCACTCAGTACACAATCAACCTGTGGAACTCCTTGCCAGAGAATATAGTGAAGAC